GCATATAATAGAAATTTTGGCAAAATTTTTGGCAACACTCCTGGAAAGGCTGGAAATACTGACAGAGAACACTGACAAGGCAGAGAAGCAGATACACATGACATCTAGAAGACACAGAATATAAGGTTTGCAGATAGAAATTAACACAATCAAAATATCTCACAGCCCAGATGCACGTCAGCAGTTCAGAATTTTAAACAGACTGAAATGTCACTAGGTATGGCTCTGTCCAAGCATCAAGTGCTATGAAAGGCAGAGTACGCTTCTGCAGAAACAGTGATAGTATGATATTTTCCAGACAACAGTGAAAAAACATTAATACATTTTGAGTTATCCTTAACGAGAACATACAGGTGAAACTATCAGCTGAATATGGAATTGATCAATTTAAGTGTCTGCTGAATTATTTAAGACAAACTAGCCTTCATCAGGCCTCATTCTAATCTTCAATTTACTCTAGTGAAATCTTTTCCTTTGGTACGAACTCATTAAAAACACATCCATCAGTGAACAAGCTGTGAAGCCACATGAGGATTGCTTGCCAAATTCTATTTGGGTTAGCTGTCAGTGAATTTCACAAGGTCTGAACATTAATTATTTCTGAAACAATATTTTGTAATTCCCTCAATTTGATCCTCAATTTTATCTTTGAGCAAATATAAGTGAACACGGAAAAAATCTGTTTCCTTTTTTTTTCACTACCAGACAATATGGGAACATCTTTCTGAATATCTCAGATTACAAGAAAAGAAAGACAGCAGGAGCTATCACACGTGGCTCTTGAGACATATTCTCGTATGTAAGATGCTAGTACACTTGCATACACCTGAGGTCAAGTGTGTACCAATAGCATCCTGTCAAGCATCAGAAACTTTTCATATTAGAAGTGTTTATAAACAACATCCAAACTTTGATTTCTTAAATGGAATTGCATTTATAGATTTCAAACTATATAATAAATTTAATATGGACCAGGACCATTTTATACCACTAAGGATTACAGGCACTGATGAGGCTACATAAAATCCTAGAATTTTTTTGAATTTTTGGAAGGAATCTTAAAAATCATCTAGTTCCAACTCTCCTGCCATGGGCAGGGACACCTTCCACCAGATCAGGTTGCTCTGAGCCTCATTCAACCTATCTTTGAAAATTTCCAGGGACATCCACATTCTCTGGGCAACCTGTTCCATTCATCTCACGTTGGAATTTACTGCTGGATCCAACTATATGCATGCAGCATTATCAATTCAGAACTACTTTTTGGAATGGTTCCTAGTGCAATAAACAGTTAAAATATGTTGGCATGAGTAGGCCTGAAGCCTTAGCATTGCTGTGTGGGCAAAAGAGGGAGGAGAGGCAGATGTGTGGTGCTGGAAATTTGGGGAACTACAGTTACAGGATACTGGGGGGAGGTGCAGCAAAGATCTGGAACCACCTGACATGGGACTAAACATTGCCATGCACCTCTGTGCCACAATAAATGCCCTGAAATGTCAGACCTAGAGGTGCAGGGATGCCTGATAAAGAGCATCAAAACCGTGATTTCTTAAACTGAATTGCATTTATGGATGTCAAATCATGTCATAAATTTGAAATGGTCTAGGACCATTTTACACCACAAAGAATTACAGGCGCTGTAAATAAACAAGTGTACATCAAATCATAGAATGGAATTCTATGAGAATTCAGAACATTTAAGTTCTGAACAGCTGGAAGATGCTTGTGCCCAGCTTCCTCATGAGCAAGATATTGACCAGTAGTATGGTAATAGTTCAGTAAAAATCAATTAAACAGATTACTGCACTCAAAGTATCAGTTATGATCAATAAATCTAACTAGTAGTTATTACATCAACTTCACTGAAAATAAATTAGATTAACATTTACTAAATTATCTACTCCTTAAACATTTCTTTGATATGATGACAGACACTACACCAAAGATTAGGAAAAAATATTCTCTAAAACAATACTTTTTTCTTAGTAGGAAAGAACAACCTGCAAAACAAATCAACATTGCTAAAAGTCCTAAAGCAATAAAATATTTATACTGTCCACTGAAGAAAAGACCAGGTAAAAAATGTAAAAACCTCCAAAATACAACCTTTTCTCAACAGTTACCAAGATGAACATCTAGATGAAGCCTCATCCATCTCCAGTGGGTTTCATATTGCACAAAGATAATCTTCATCATTATCAAGTTTTAGTCAAGATTCAGCGTGGTGCTAGTAAAGACAAGTTTGTGAGTTTGATCCCTAAGGGCTACGCCCTTAATAGCTGGACTCAATGATCCTTGTGGATCCCTTCCAACTGAGAATATTCTGTGGTTCAGTGGTAATCAATGAAACTACCAAGAAAATAATATGAAGGTTAAGGAAGTTTTTGAGGAAGTTGATTGAACCAAGTAAAATCAAGTGAAAACAAGAACTATGGTAAAACAAAATGCAATTGACCATTTATTTTTCATCAAGGACAAGCATACCTCATCATGAATTCGAGCAAGGAAATACAACATTCAATATAACATCAAGTTAAGGTAACAATAGTAAACTAAATTTTTAGCAAGATGAACAGAATTAATGTAATTGTCATGAAACAGTTAATGAATCTGTACAAGCCCCTCCTTGTCCCCCTCCCACCCCCAAAAAAACCTCGCAACTCTAAACCAAAAACAAAGCTCCACAGTAATAGGCGATAATATCTGCGCTCTGAGACATTATCCGAGGCCTGAAGAAGTGAAAGAAAGAACGTAGCGAAAAATAAAGTAGTTTATCTAAAGAAAACCCAAAGTCTGGAAGAGAAGATAAGGGCCATAAAGGATTTATTTTATACTTACTGCTGAATGAACAGAAAATATAAAAATGATAAATAACTTAAAAAAGAGAAGGCAGAAACCACAAAAGTAACTCATAGGGTCAATTCAAAGAAAACAAATCTTCACAACCATAAGACAAAAACCCAAACAAAACCCCAAAACCACAAGCAACACTCATGAAGGGAACCTGAACTGTTTAGAATCATGCCCTCAAGGTCTTTAAGCCAACAACAAAATTGAATTGACTTTGCTTAAAACATACAGTACTGTAACAGTCACTGCCAGCCAATATCTCACTAAGAGTCTTGCTGTTTGTTTCAGAGTATCAAATCTTGACTTTCAATTCAAAGCCTGAAAGATAATGGGTTTCCATGATGAAAAAAATTGTATCACACAAGTAGTAATTAGCCATTTATTCACTATTTAGATTCTTCTTTAGGAGTCAAATGGTTCAATTGTTCCTTTAATCACAACTTCAGAGGAAATTAACATGGAGTTTCCTAATTCTCTAAAAAAAATAACTATAAAACACTACTCAGCTAAAAAACTTCAAGTCTTGCATTTTGTATTCAAGTTTAATTCTTCTCATTTAAAATAGACAGCAAAAATTAAGGCATAAACCAACATTTTTAAGAAAAAATAAACAAAACCAACAAAATCAGCAATAATGTGAAGATTTACATTAGCATCAACAGTGGCTTCCTAAGAAACGAGAAGAATTTCTCAGACCGCTCCATGGACAACAATAACAGAAAAGATACAGGAAAGGCAGATAGAGCTTGAAGAACTTTGATGAAAAGTATATGGATAGAATTCCATATTTAGAGTAAAAAAAGTGACTTATTCAAATTTTCTCCCACTGGAAGAGAAATGAAAAATGTTTCACGTAATAAACATTGGTGCTTGCTCTCTCAAATCCACTCAACTACATGCATAGAAGCTGTGACATGACAGCAACTGTTTTTGATGATGGGGTTTGGTCTTGTTTGTGGACTTTGTTTTTTAATGCTTTGCACAGAAAACCAGGAAAAGCAAGGACTTGTAATTTTCAGTGGGAATCTGGTTATTCCTTCAGAAAATAAGCTCCAGAAATTTTTGAGATAAAAGAACTCTTATCGTTTTGTCCATTTATTTTATTTTTCTGAGTTATCACATTGCCTCAACTTTTAAAGACAAATTTATCATATAAGTTGGGCCAGATGCAGCAAAATTCTACCTACACTGTTACTGGTCTAGCTCTTCTCATCAACTGACAGTTCCATCTAACTGAGTAAGTATTATTCCCTCATGGGAAATTCCCTCAGATAAGATAATCTTAGCAATAACCACCTTAGGTTTAAACTCCAGGAACAGACGAGAAAAATCAAAGACTTGTACAGATATATGCACCAGGAAACTACATAGCATTACTCTGAGTTTGTCTGGATGAAGTAATTACCAACTATGAATTATGAGCTATACAGAGATTAGATACGAACTGTATTTCCACAAAAAGCATCAACTGACAGCTCTGAACTAGCATTTTCTTTTTTTCACTTCCAGTCTTCCTTTGTGAATTCAACCTGGAAGACATTACAAACATATCTTTCCAGAGGGAAGGGAAAAAGTGATTAGGGGTACTCTTTACAGAACATGGTATAAAACACAAGCAGCAGGAGGCAGAATAGGTCAACCTGATCACAATGACATTATTTTCTTCTCATTTATGTGGAGAATAGAAAGAAAAACGTAAGAGTAGAAAACCTCAGAAAAAAAAGTTAAGATTTTTTAATGCAAACAAAAATAAGGCCTAATTATTTTAGCTATGAAAATTCAAAATAGCTCTGTATCTCCCAGTGAAACTTTGCCACAAAACATTACAAAGTTTTTATGGTTTTGGTTTGGTTTCTTTTGCAAAAGTAAATAACATTTTTAAACAAAGAGAATCCAAAATCATTACAGAAGCAGTATTTCAATAATCAGGCCTTTCACATCCATGGATATGTCCAAAAAAAGTCCAATTGAACAGCAGCAGCTGGACTTTTCTCCCAGTCTGGAACCCCTTCACTTATAGGAAGAAGCAACTGGTTTGTTTTCTTTCTATAACATTATAATATTATTAAAACTGTATTTCCAGAAAGGGCAAAAAAAAAAAAAAAAAAAAAAAAAAAACACCAAAACTGTGATAATAAAACAGAACTCACCACAACACCAAACTGCTCTGGCTCAGACAAATTGTTATACTCGTTCTTGAACTTGGACAATGCATTCAATTGCTCTTGTTCAGGGAGGTGTTTTATTAAATTCTATAAAAGAAAATAAAAGAGGCTTAAAAATCTCAGATTCAATGTTGCTTCTATTATTGTAAACAAACAGGTTTACATATGCATTACTGCCATACATTCCCAAGACAACACTCTTCCCTGAACACAGCAGAATGTACATAGCAACCCACAAATTAAAGTAACTGAGAGTGTAAAAGATAAGTGATGCAATACTGCAATACTGACACTGATTCAACGCACTTCCGTAGTATTTTTTTAAACTGTTTTTAAAGAAAGAATGTGCTTGATAGGCATGATGGAAACAGAACGCTTCAAAGCAAACAGAACAGGAACTTCAAGTATAACATAACGATCCAAAGGCTGGCAAGAATTACTAATGCCAGATGAAAAGTATTTTGAAAAAGAATAATTAATTTTCTAGCATTTCAAAGCAATTACACTTACTTACTTACTTATACTACTACTTAGCGTGAAAACTTGCTAGAAGTAGCAAATCAGAGGTGAGATTCAGCTTCAGTTGAATTCAGAAGTCAATATGGGGAGGTTAGACACATATAAAGTGAATGTCTTACAGGTAAGGGAATCAAACATTTCACCTTCATCTGCTCATCTGAAGAATCCTCTGACTCCCTGGAGTTTCCTGAACACTTAGACACATATTATCTACACAAAGACACACATCTGGGCACCTGAACCCCACTCTAATTAGCTTCTGCTAGGCTGGTTAAAAATGGCTTTTGAGATATTCTGGAAATAGAAAGCTTCTCACACACTTAATTATGATATAAAATTTGAGTCAGTAGCTCAATTCTGTTCCTTCTCAAGATGACTGCTGCAACCACTAGGCAATAGCCAGAGTCCTTACAGCTTGCTGTGTCTTTCAGATTATGACTCTTGTGTTTCTGGTTACACATTGGTTAAGCATCTGTCACAGTGAGAAAAACACGAGAGAGATTTTCCTTTCTTAAAACACTCTTTGGTCTACTGGTAAGATCACTCTCCTGAACTGAAGATTCGATCCTTTTAACACTGAAGGCAGTCTAGGATACACAACCCACAACCCACTACCTATTACCATATTGCAAGAAAGAAACAAGACCAACTCCACCACTTCCCCATTACTTGATGGAAAAGGCAGACATTTTGGTTGCCATCATTTGTTTTACTACCTTTCAAGTAAATAGCTTGGGTGATATACAATGAGAAAAAAAGAACTTGTTTCAGTTAATGAACAGAATCTCCATCTGAAAGCCTTAAAAAACACCTAATTTTACCCACTAAAGATCCTAATTCATTCTTATACAGGAAATTTAGCCAGTTAAGATATAAAAATTACCTCTCTGGGGCCAGACAGATAAAAAGTCATACCTATGCTTTGCTTAACACACTTCTTTAGTTTAAGAAGAATAAATTTTACTCTTTTATGTAGCAGCTGAAAAATATCCTTAAATCAGTGGACTGGTTCAACAGAATGTCCATGCTCAAATAAGGATTTTGGTAAGAAAAGACAAAACTATTAAAAATGCATAAATGATGATGCTTAAAAAATCATGTAAACTTAAATTTTAGGAGCTTGATTTGGATATGGTCAAACTGAATTTTAGTGGAACAGCAGTCATATGTATCCTTACCACTCTTACATTTGGAAAAATTTTCTTTCAAACAGACTAAATTTATTAATTCTGGATGAAAAGGTCTGACACTAAATCAGTAACACTGAGCAAAAAATGAAAGGGTACAAAGTGTAAAAAGATACATTTAAAACTAGAAATTCATAACACACTTATTTCTTTTTTTGATACCCAACATTCCCATAAGCAGCTCTAAATATAATACAATTCCTTAATATTTACTGAAATTAAAATGTTATTGTTTGATGCAGGAATAGTTTTCATATGAAGAAAGATTGCCCAAAAACCAGAAACAGTGAAGTGTTAAATGAATATTTTCAAAGTTGAGTATCAGAATATAAAAAAAAAAGGCAACAAAAACAGAAGGAGCAGCTGATATCAAAGCAGCTTTTATGGTGTTCAGACAAAGCTTTTGAATGCTACAGATGAAACACATTTTGAATATCAAACAAGGAATAACAGGAGAAAGAATTTTGACTAAGTCACGGGAAACATTTCAATAATTAGTCAATGAGTTTTTGGATTAACACATGACTTTTGGAGTTTTTACATTTTTAAGCACTAGATTTAATTTGTAACTGAAGTAGGGTGGAGGGAGGGGAATGGAGAGATGGAGAGAAAATACATTTTATTTCTTAAGAATAACAAGAGTTGGATTAAGAACAAATTTCCAACTTCAGAAACAGTGATATTAGGACCCACTGAACAAAACAGCTACAGCAAAAAAAAAAAAATCTGCTGAAAGCAAGAAATTTCTGAAAAGGAGATGTACCATACTGCCTAAGGTAACTTAGATGAATGAAGAAAATTAGCCATTTGGCTGCAAACCTATGTACGCTTTCCCTCTTCTGAGAACGATGAAATACATGGAACGCATTTTCATAGCATGGTCATAATGCATACTTGAAAAGGATTCTGAGGGTAGATATAAAGACATACAGCTGGACACCTAAAGTTATTTAGTAACCTAAGTACATACAAGGTGGATACCAACTTTTTGAAGCAATGAGCTACATGGTTCTACTTTCAAAGAAAGATGGGTGTCTTAAGTTCTTTTCCAAGTTCAAACTCAGTCCCTTTTTCAAAGTTACTATAGGGTTGATTACCCAGAAACAAGCAATTTGGATAAACCACTTTGATAAATTTTATTACATCCAAACTTGGAAACTAAATTTGAAACCTAAGTTCTACTGAATTTTCCATCTAATTTAGGTCTTCAAAGGATTAATCACTTGCCAAAAAAAATGCAGTCCATATTCTTGAGTGATTTATATGACTGTGTTCATACAGGATATTGTGCACATGATCACTTGTATTCCATTCCACTGACTTTTACACAATCACAGAAGCTGCTAATATCAATGTACTCTTGTAGAATATAATTTCTCACTTTTGGCTCTTCATCTTCTCTTACCCTTTTCTTAAATAAAAATGTTTACTCCACTCCAAAAGCAAACACAAAAGGGTTAAACCACTGCTGAAACCACTTTGGACTCAATTTTGATGCCAACTACATACAGAGGTTACTATATACACTGACTTTCAACATACTTTACCGCCAATACCAATTAATAGAGCCACAAGGTTATCAGCAGTGTCAAAAAGTTATATCCTATTAAATTGTTAGCCATGCCAACTGCAAAGCTCCAGTGGGGTTAGGGCGTGTTCTAAATATACTGAAAATTAGGCATTCTTTATCCCAAGGCATATACAATTATAATGAAAATAATAGTCCGCAGAAGAAATTAAAAATAATGATACGAAAGCAAAAAAATCATCCATGAAAATAAATTTTCTCTTCTTAGATGAATGCATTTTTACATAGAAGCATGCCATTAATTAACTATGCATTAATGGTTTGATGATTTTCTTTCCCAGAGTCTAAATGCAAAATAAATTTTGCCTTCTTTAGAAAACACATATAGAAATTATCAAAATGACACGTTTTTTATATTTTTGATACACAGTACTTAATTTATACAGGTTGCTTCATTTAATTGTTGAGGACCTCTTTTTCCTAACAAGCTGAATGTTAACCATTGAAAAACAGTGCTAAGATCAAACAGCATGAGAGAGTCTCAGAGCAAGGATGGACTATCTGAGACAGAGTTTAAGCTGAACATAACAGCAGAGCATATTCCATCTCTCAGTTTTTCATGCTACCATAGAGAATTTCTACTATTATACCGAATAAAATAAAATAAAGATACACATCATACTGCTGTTGAGCATGAAGAAAACCTTGAAAAAGAGATCTAAGTGCAAATTAGACTAAAAAAACATTTTAGAAGTGTAAACTATGTTCATCCTAATAACCTTAAAGTAATAGTTTTAGTGCCAATATTAACTGCATCATTGAACAAAAGAATGGGAATTATACAATGACTATATATACTGTCACTGGAGATCATAGTTCATGCTTGCTCCTTCAAATATTTAAGAGAAACATCTCATTCTTCAATGAAGAAGAGAAAGTGAAGTCCAAACAGCTGAAGAGAGATTAAACATCTTTGAAATGCAAATCACAGGAAGTGAGGGCAAAACTGCATGCAGGAAGAAAAAGGGCATGCTGAGCATTGCACAGCCTCCTGTGCAATAAGATAAGATGTTATTTTGATATTCTGATATGGGGGAAATTAATTTTGCAGGAAAACTACAGAAATACAGATTTGTCTTGTTTTGACATCTGAATACAAGTTTCTATGCGTTGTAGTAGAAGCCACACCTGAATTTCCATGAGCTATAATGTAACAACCAATTTTATGACCCTGATGCCTGTACTTGCTGTAACTAATCAACATTCCTTCAAATAGAGTATGTTTCTAAAAAACCAATCCACCTTCAACTTTCTTTCATGTTTCAGTAGGGATTGTTACCCATGTCTGTAACACACTATGAAGTATGCTGAAGAGATTAGCTATCTACATTACTAGTAGATAGACAGGAATTATCAATTATTGATATATTATATTTTGACTTTTATGAGCCATAATAGAAATTAATTTGAAGTTCATCAGTATGCCAGAGTCCTGTCCAAAACACAGATAATTTTTCTAAAGACAGTTTTCAAATTTACTGATGCCCATCAACGACTCAAGAATAGGGCACGTGACAGGCAAGGACAGACTGAGAGAAGTCACTTTGTTGAACTCTAGGAAAGCAAGCCTCATGGGCCCTTAATGTGTGCAGATACCCAACTAAATGGTACAAAGAAGGTGTAATTAAGCTCTTCTTGGAGTTATGCAATAGAAGACCAAGGTCACAAATTACCACAATTAAGATTCCAGTTAGATAAACTAAGAAACATTTTTTACTACAAGCGTTCAACACTGGAAAAGGTTTCCAGAAAAGCCTATGGGTCTCGAGACTTGGAGATACTGAAAATTTGATGGAAAAGGCCCTGATCAAACTGCTCTAGTTGACCTGGCTTTGAGTAAGGCCTTGGCTCAAAATGACTTCAAGACACCCCTTCCAAATTATTTTTCCCATGGTTCTAAAATGATTCATTTGTGTTTATTTCATTAAATTCTTCAGCTTTTCAACCCTTAAATAACACTGCATATAGAAGAACTTCCAGTTTCTTTTGGCACCACGTAGAGTCATATTGACTTTGTGTTTTAAAAAAATAATACTGAAAAAGAAGATACTACCTAAATAAACTCTATGGAAGAGAAGTGTTGAATGCTGTAAATGCCCTAGGGCAAGATATTGGATTGTTACAGCTCTAACAAACAAAAACAAAAACAAAAAAAAAAAAAAAAAAAAAAAAAAAAAAAAAAAAAAAAAAAAAAAAAAAAAAAAAAAAAAAAAAAAAAAAAAAAAAAAAAAAAAAAAAAACCCAAACCAAACAACCAAAACAGAGATTTGTGCAGATAAGACAGAGCTAAAACAAAGCAAAGAAAAAATTTGGTAAGTAGGGAAGATACAAAACATAATATGTACCCAAGAAAAAGTCTCTATTTAGGTGTGGACAATATGGAAAATTGAGAATATAAATTCAGCTGTGTCATAGTTTAGTCCCATCCAGCAACCAAGCCCCAAGCAGCCACTCACTCACTCTCCTCACAGTGGGATCAGGAAGAGATTGGCAGGGTTAAAGTCAGAAAACTCACAGGATGAGATAAAACCGTGCACACAAGAAAAGCAAAGCAAGGAATTCATTCACTGGTTCCCATGGGCTGGGAGATGTTTACTGCCATCTTCAGGAGAGCAGGACCCCATCACATGTGGGTGACTTGAAAAGACAAATACTACCCACCACCCCATCTCCCTTCTTTCTTCTTCCCCACATTTTACATACTGAGCATGATGTCATATGGTCTGCAACGTCCCCTTGGTCATTTGAGGTCAGATGTCCTGGCTGTGTCTCCTCCCAACCTCCCATACACACCCAGCCCCCTTGCCAGCATGGCAGCCTGAAAAGCAGAAAAGGCCTTGGCTCTGTGTAAGCCCTGCTCAGAAATAACAAAAACATCTCTGTATTATCAACCCTGTGTTCAGCACAAATGCAAACCTAACCCCGTATCAGCCACTGTGAAGAAAGTTAACTCAGTCCCAGCCAAAAACAACACAAGCTGTTTTCATAAAAATATTCGCAATGCAAATTTTTTTAAAACTTTACTGTTCACAGGAAAACAATATTCTTGCAGGTAATTATTAGCCAAAAGTTTACATTAAGAGGTGTTTTTAGCTATGCGTTTCCATTTACTGAGAAGCTTCTCTTAAAATAGTGGGATTTTAAGTGCCATTTTTGTTACCTGAATCATGGACTCTGAGAGCTGTGTTTCATCTACTTCCAATATCATCGTTTTGATCTCTTCATAAGGCACTCGAAAAGATCCAAGGAAAATTGCTAAAACAAAGATTCCACATGTTATGAAGAAAGCAAGACAAGAACTATCTTGCTTCTATTTAAAAAACAGCAGCAAAAAGGTCATAGCATCTCCAGATTAACAAACACTATGCCAAAAAATATAGGTAAGAGATAACAATTTTTAATGTATTTTTAATTACTGTTCTCTTTCAATTCCAGCCTTCTCCATATCCATTTATTACATACAACATCCAGCATCACAGAACACTTCCATAAGCAGTCAGAGACAAGTCTACTCTGCAGAAGAATCACTGCTATTACAGTATTTTGTGCTAAGGTGACTACTGTAATTTTTTCAATAGTCTTGTCAGAGCCTTCTCTTAAAGAAGTACCATGACAAACCAAAACCAAACCATAGAAACAGAACATTTTTTTAAATGTTCTTATAAGCACTCTTTATTTAGTCACCATAACACAATTATTTCTTATATAATCTCTGCTGGCATTTAAGAACCTATTCTTCCTAGAACTCCCTCTATCAAAACTTTATTTTCTTTGCATATTATTCCATAATACAGAGTATGGCCTAGTTTCTACAAAGTTCATGAGATGGGCAGACATGCTGCAGGCATTTTCATCCTTTTGTTGACAAGGGGTGGGGACATGCAGGGGAAGGGGGCATCCAGTATTCCTTGATGAATATACTGAAAATAGAGATGGATTAGATACATAGCTGTATGCTTGCACTTCAATACATACAGTCTTGAACAGGGAATAATCTTTAACTACTTCTCGGGTCTTTTTAAGTGTCTCAGTTGCGTAAACTCACGTTTGTGCTTAAAAACAATACGCACATATTTAAACACATTTTAAAAAAGAAGTGGTTACCAGGTAATCACACAAGAGAGAAGGGCGTCTTTATGGAACATTTATACACTACTCTGAGGAAAAAAAAAAAAAATAACCAACAGAATCTACTTACACAGATTCTGTGCAATCTTAGGATCCAAAACTTTTAATTCTTTGATTCGTTTCTTAATGGATTTCTTTTCTTCAAAATCCTCCTCCTCTCTTTTTACTGCCAAATTAATCAAAAATACAATTATGGTTAATTCTTAATATTTAGAGGAAACATTTGTGAATTCAGAAAGCATACTTGCTATCAAACATAGTCAATTCATAGAGAAAAGATCACAAAACACACAGACAAAAAACTGAGAAATTTTGCATGTAGTGCTTGTATTCCATAACTTTTGCTCTTCAGTCAAATTTGGAAACTTGTTAGCCTTCTAGTTTTTTGTTTTTTTTTTTTTTTTTTTTAATATATAGGGCCTGGATAAAGATGATAATGTTAATTGTACAAATTCAGTCATATTTAAAATATCATGCAACATGCTCCGGTTACCCTGGCCAGGCTAGGATTACGAATTGGATTTTAACAATAACAAATCTTTAAAAATATGGCAATATGTCTCAACACTGAGACATCTATCTATTTTTGTGATTGCTTTTGTCTAACCATATGCACAAAAATTATCCAAGATCACCAGCTTATTAAAAAATTAACATTGATTTAGAATATAGCAGAGTTGTTATATACCTATATAGCAGATACATAGATCTATTTCCCTGCCCTCCCTCAAAAAGATGCATTTTTTAATATATGATGTAATCATATTATTACAAAATACCACAAAGAAAAAGTGATGGTATAAACATATATTAACATTGCTGGAGACTTTGGCTTATTCTTTCTTTTAATAATTCATACAAATAGAAAATAATTAATACAAATAGGATCTCCCAAATACATTGTGTAAACTGAATTTATTTCTCATTAGTCACACACTGTCATAAGAATTTCACTTACAATAACAACATAGCCTTGATAAAGTATTAGTAGGAATTACTATGCAAACAAACCAAAAAGTGAAAATCACACAAATCTTCCCTTAAATATGATCTGGTATTGTATTATTTTACAATAATACATAATACTCTTTTTTTAAACTTTTCCTTCTTCCTTCCCCCAGCACAAATCTTCACTGTCAAATATTATTTACCAAATACATTGCTACTGTTTATCTAATCCTGTATACTATTTAACAAATTAAATTAGTTTCCAAGCCTTACAGTATGACTGCTCCAAATTAAGTTATGCGTGCTTCAAATATTTGAGAGAAGAAAATATGCTACAATAGTATAATGTGCTACTGACTTCTAAAGGAGATAGGTATAGACGAGAAGTCCTGTCAAGGAGACATAGAATTAGAATTTATAGCTCAGTGATGATCCTTGACAAAACTAGACATAAGCATGAATTATCAAGAGGATTTCCCTAAACTGAAATTAATTCCAAAAATGTTAAGAGAGATATTTAAGAGCTACATCTTTCTTAAAAAATGTTTTCTAAAGCATGATAAATTTTGCCAAGGATTGGGACACAGACAAAATGACCTCTTGAGGTCTTTGATCTTGGTTGTCTAGGATACAACCAAAGAGATAAGGAATTCAAGACCTCACACAGGGATTGAAGGAACCAGATTCAAGTCCCTTCTGAGTAGATGGAGATAGAAATTTGAATCATCTCCTAAATCACTTTTAATACTCTACATCTACTAGGCAACACAATGCTCCTGAGAACATGCCACAGTGCAGAAAAGAACCCGTATTCTGCAATAATGAAATCACTAAGCTAAGACATAAAGCAGTCCTTAGAAAAAGGACTGATAACCAGGATCCTGCAAAACGGGTTACAAAGCCACAATCCTCCTCTTTTGTCTGTTCCCAGTCTTCCCACAAAATTCACTTGGTCTTGAATTTCTTTTAGCACATTGAACAGAATGGTTAGCACTGTCCTGTACCAGGAAAACTACACACCCTGCTTACTACACACGCGAAAGCAAAAGTAGGTTTGCACCAGCAATGCGAGAACTCTATAGCACAGGCTCCAAAGGAACAGAATGACATTAAAGCTACAGGATAAAAAGAAGGTTACCACTAAAGATTCACTTTTTCTGTTTATGCTTGAAGTAGAGCCCTTACTGAACCCAGAAGGTTATGTCAAGGGGCTGCAGATCCCAGAATCACATGACTGTTTTGTCCTGCAGTTACACACTTTAACAGACCTCTCAAATTTCTTAACTTCTTCAACTACACACTGAAAACAGTGACTCTTAAAAACATGAATTTTGAGTTGCCTCAAAGTCTTATCAATGCTAGAATTGCAGATTCTCCTAGAAGACCTGTACATTCCTGTAGCACAGGTTCTAAGCAATTTTCATGCCTTAATGAAAATACAGTAAAATGCTTCATGGTTACCTTGGAACTTTGCAAGGAAACCTGGAACTTCACAAGAAACAAAATAATTTCCATTGTAGTAACAATAAAAAGTAGTTAAATTATCTAAATTTACTAATTTGCTTAAACGTGCCCTGACAGTCTCAAACTGGATGCTAAAGGGGCAGAAATAGCAAAAAAAAAAAAAAAAAAACAAAACAAAGTTTCCAGCACTAGAAAGCAAAATTTATTCATTACGAGTCTTATAACCGAAATAATACAGACACGCAAACATGCAAAAAGCATTAATAGTTAATCGTGCACTACTTCATCCCCTACTTCCAAATCAAGAAACAGTGCTGCAAATGAACTGGCCAATAACCTCAGGAATTTTCACCCAGGAAGGGGTTATAAACAATGTTATAGCACTACTTAAGGCATCACAACACTAAGAAAAACATATAAGCATAGAACGTGTCTACTCTAGGAAACTCATGCAGGAATTGTATGCAGAATTCTACACTTATGCAACAAACTAAATTACTGCAAACTTACATGATACTTCTTTAGCAGAATTCAGGTCACGTCCTTATGTAGTTGGCAGCAATAAGAAGTAGAGGACATGTATTACTTTTCTTGCTGGTTTGAAATGTTGCATTTCCCACTGAAAACTCTGAACCTCCTACTGCCTCTAAAACTTTTCACTTCCTTTGCTAATACCCTGGTTTCGGACAAGGACATGGGTCATGTGGAGCCACATGGACATGGCCAAGACACCGTGCAATTCAATCCCATCTCACCTCGTGGCCAGGGAGGAGGGAAATGGGTCTCTCTCTCTTGCTTCCTGGAAAATAGGGGGAAGGAGGAGACATTCATTTTCCAGGGAACCAAGCAACAAATGGAGCGGTGGGGTAACACTGGTCCCAACCAGATGATCTGGCTGCCATTTTTTTTCATTGTCTTGGGCTTGGGGGAAAAATATGGAGGCAGATGGTCTGTCCACCATTTTGTTCACTGTCCCAGTCAGTGAGCAATTCCCTGCAAATCACTCTCTTTTTGTAAACTTTTGTTATTAATATTGTTGCTGTTACTGTTCTTATCTCATTGCTGTTTCCAGTAAATTGCTTTTATCTCAACCCATGATCTCTGCCTTTTTTATCTCCCATTGAAGGCATAAGGGGGCACTAAACGAGGGAGTGCTGCTCCTAAACCATGACAGGTGGCAAAATAAAAAAGCCCCCAAAATCCCAAGAAACATAACTATTCTCTGTTTCCAACAAGTAAAAAGAGGAAAATACCCCACAGCAGAGGGCAATGACTAGAAATATCTGAACAGGTGAAGTAAGAATCTAGACTAAAAGGAAATCATAGAAAATAAGCAGTTAAATTTTCATTTGTGGAGAGCACTGTAATAGAGGGGAAAGTATACAGAAGAAAGAAAATGGGAACATCTGCTTACAGTGGGAAAAAAATAAAGCAGGCTAGTGGGAGTGGGCAGCTGCTGCAGAAAGGATGTGACTATTTGAAGGAAACAGACGTGAGATGTTGCCATGCTAATGAGAGAAGAAACCAGGGGATCACAAAATACACAGGCAGTTCTCACAGCCCCAGAAGTTTGATCTTACTAAAGCATTAAGTTTTTCAAAATTACATTTTTTTTCAGCTACTATACAACAGAAAACCACACACCCTTTAAAGGTCTGTCTATACGCGAAATCTATCCCACTGCGGGACACACTCATGGCCCTAGCATCTGAGCTATGTTTTGTCAGTAGTACCTCATCTGATGCCCTGCTCTGCCCTCTCAGGCTGAGAAACAAAGTGCTAGAGCACTTTGAAACACACAAGAATGCACCTCCCACCCTTCGCAGTTTCTCTTATCTTCACACCCTACATCCTTATCAACAACTCTAAAATTAACAGATGTGGTTGCCAACATACACACACACAAATACCTCAAAGGAGTTTTGGATACTGGACAGATTGCTTTTACTGTCTTCTTCAAATTCAGATCCATATACACATTCAAATGTAGTCAACTACCTCCATCTGCGGGAATGACCTGACTGAAATTAGGGTCCTGAAAAGAGTGGTGACAGGACTGTTTTATAAATACTTGGAAGTATTGGAAGCCTGCAGAACAGCACTTCATAAAAGTGTGGACTGGATCCTAGGGAGCTACTCTGTGTAACTCTGAATCAATTACATTCTTGGTAGGTGCCACTGAAATAATCTACATTCATGAATTGCAATACACATTTCTATTTCTACCACAGGTCTTGATGTAATCTGCTACCCACAATCTTTGTAAGAAAAATCATGTCTGTGCATCTGTATGCCCAAGAAAAAAATCTTCTAAAATACATCATCCTAGTGGAAAAAACCAAAACAAAATACCTTTGAAATACAAGCTTCAAAAGAAATATATCTGAACATTTAGGTCTGAACATTTATTTTTAAAAGTCTGAATTCCTATTTCAGATTAAACTTGAAACTTGAAAAGATGAAACTTAAAAATGCACACAGAACACTCAGTGGTGTTATTTCGTCAGTAAGAGACTTATTTTGTCACTAAGTAAAAGAGCGTACAGAAGACTATACCTGACCTTACACTTTTCCTAGCCTCTTAGCTAAGATAACAGTCATCTTGCATTCTCTCTTCACTGAAAAATGAAAGAACTAGCCTGGAATCATGGACTCAAAGGAGGTACCCATACCAAGTGTCATTATGAAAGTAGATGTCTACTTCATCTGTAGAGAACTCTAATTCTTAAAAGTAAACGATATCTTGTGTCCCAT